CCCAGGTTCGAACTCCCGGCCCTCCGGGGGGGGGCAAGACTAAATTTCCTTCTCTCTCTTCTTGAAGAGAAGGTAATGTTTAAAGTCTCACTTCTCTGGCTTCGAATAATGAAATCCAAAAAATAAAACAAGATTCGAGGGGGGTGGAATTTAGAGTAAATCCCTTCTCTCATCTTCTTTCAGCCCCCCCCCCTTAAGACCCCCTTTAAGCCCTCTTCAAGGCCCCCTTCAAGCCTCCCTTTACGCCCCCTTTTCGCCCCTTCAAGCCCCCCTTTAAGCCCCCCCTGAAACCCCCCCTTAAGCCCCCCTTAAGCCCCCCCTTAAGCCCCCCTTAAGCCCCCCCTTAAGCTCCCCCTTTAAGCCCCATTTAAGCCCCCTTTCCCCGCCGTCCCACCCCCAACCCCCCCGCTCTTTACTTCTTAAAACAAAAACAATCTCGTCTCTACTCCTCTGAGTTTTGAACAATGAAATACAAAAACAAACCAAGATTTGAGGGAGGTGAAATTTAGACTAAAGTCCTTTCTCTCTTCTCCCCTCTTTCCAATTCACAACAGTTGGGACTGGGCTGTAACACGTTTCCTTTACAGGAATTTCAGCCTTATATTTGGGTTCATTTCACTCTTATCTTTTGGGATTTCAATCTTATTTTTGGGGTTCATTTCACTCTTATCTTTTGGGATTTCAATCTTATTCTGGGGTTCATTTCACTCTTATCTTTTGGGACTTCAATCTTTGCATTTCACTCTTATATATGGGGATTTAAGCCATTATTATTTCACACATGTACACTTTCACTCCTTATCCTACAGTACCTACTCGAGTCATGGTCCTGTATCGCCCAAGGCTCTACCAATGACCTCAAAATCCACACCAAAGTTGGCTCCCGAAACGGTGCCGGTATGGCAAACACATCGGTCAGAATTTCACTCTTATTTGGGGGGGGATAAGGCTGAAATCTGTCCGGGAAAACAAGGCTGAAATCCTGGGTTCCCCCAAGAAGAGCTCGAGATTTCATTGTTACCCGCGGCCCCGGATTTCACTCTTACCCCGCCCCGGATAAGGCTGAAATATCTGCCTACCTGACACTGGTTTTCGGAGCGCTTTTGGGGCGTTTAGGGCGTTTTGGAAGGGTTTTCGGGGCTCGTCTGGCGACTTCTAAGGGCTCGTCGAGCACCTCAAGGAAAGGCCTCGGAATAAGGAACGACCACGACAGGATACATGACCCCCAAGATAAGGCTGAAATGGCCCCAGGATAAGATTGAAATGGGCCCCGAGATAAGGCTGAAATGACCCCAAGATAAGGCTGAAATGTCCCCAAGATAAGGCTGAAATGGCCCAAAGATAAGGCTGAAATGCCCCCAGGATAAGATTGAAATGCCCCAAGATAAGACTGAAATGGCCCCAAGATAGGCCCGAATAGAGTTGACAGAATCCCTATAAAGAACCCCCTCAAAAACGTGATAGAGCTCACCTCCAACACAACAGGCAAAATGGGGGGGCTGCGCCCCCCCCCCCAACCCCCCCGCTCTTTACTTTTAGAAACAACAACTGTCTCGTCTCTACTCCTCTGATTTTCGAATAAGGAAATACAAAAAACAAAAGAAGATTCGAGAAATTCGAGGGAGGTAGATTTAGAATAAATTCCCTTCTCCCTTCTCCTCTGAATTTTCGAAGAATGAAATACGAAAACAAAAGAATATTCGAGGGGGGTGGAATTTAGAATAAATTCTCTTCTCCTCTTTTTGCTTTAAGAAACAAAAAACAGTCTCGTCTCACTTTCAAGATTGAACAACCAGGTTCAAGCCAGGTTCAACCCAAGTCCAACCCAGGTTGAAGGAAGCGGAATTTAGACTAAATTCCTTCTCTCTCTTCTTGAAGAGAAGGTAATGTTTAAAGTCTCACTTCTCTGCTTCGAATAATGAAATTCAAAAAATAAAAACAAGATTCGAGGGGGGTGGAATTTAGAATAAATCTCCCTTAAGACCCCCTTTAAGCTCTCTTCAAGGCCCCCTTCAAGCCTCCTTTTCGCCCCTTCAAGCCCCCCTTTAAGCTCCCCCTGAAACCCCCCTTAGCCCCCCTTAAGCCCCCTTTAAGCCCCATTTAAGCCCCCTTTCCCCGCCGTCTCACCTCCAACCCTCCCGCTCTTTACTTCTTAAAACAAAAACAATCTCGTCTCGACTCTGAGTTGGACTGTGCCTTCCCCCCTACGCTCTTTACTTTTAGAAACAACAACTGTCTCGTCTCTACTCTCTGATTTTCGAATAAGGAAATACAAAACAAAAGAAGATTCGAGAAATTCGAGAGGGCTCTTTCAAGACGAACAACCCAGGTTCAAGCTGGGTTCAGCCCAAGTTCAATCTAGGTTCAACCTGGGTTTCGAAATTGAACCCACAACCTGAATTTAACCTGAGTTCAACTTGGGTTCAAAGGTTCAACCATGTTCAACCCAGATTCAACCCAGGTTCAACCCGGGTTCAACCTGAACTTGAATTTAACAAATCTGGGTTTATTAACCCACTTGAGTTGTCTGCTGTAAGTGTAAGCAAAGGCACAGGACATGTCAGACAGTGCAGATTTGTTTTTTTTGGCTTGGTCAGACCTTTTTGAATTGGGAAGAACCGTTTTTCTGTTTGTTTTCTCGAACTCGTTTGTTGGATTCTAGGAGCCGGGACGCTTCCTGTAAGGGGGCGGCGGTGGAGTGGCCACAGGTGCAACCAAGCTGCGCTGTCTTGGAACAGGTTTGTTCCAGGGCCCATCTGCCCTTAGGCAGATGAAGGTTCAGGTTCAAGGTCACTAAGTGCGAAGAAGAGAACGTGGAGCAGCACGACCACCAGTTCCACGCGGATTAGACCCAAGGCAGTGAATAGCTACAACTGGAGCAGGCCATCAGCCACCAGTTGGGGCTGTGGCCTTCAGACAGCATTACAAGAACCCTCAAGTTCCGAATACGCAGTTGCCCGTTGCACCTGGAGTAGCTCAACAGATGGAGTTTACAAGAGCAATGCTGCAAGCACAGGACGAGCAGATCCAGCAGGCAGCTCAACTTCGACAGATAAGTGTCATGCTGACGCAGGCATTCTTGCAAGTGCGAATAATGGTGCCAATGGTGGCCCTCGCTGGCAGCGTTTGGAGCAAGGGTCTTGATAAAGGCCAAGCATTATGGACTGAGCAAATGTGATGATTTGGAGCTGAAGATGGAAGGTTTCCACTTGGGTCCTTCTCCTGATGTTCTGAACGGCCACGTGGTTTTTACTGTGGAGGTCACTGGAGCTTCCCCACCTTTTCGATCAATTGCTGCCCCTCATCTTGGGTTTCAGATTCTCCAGGTTTTGGTGCAAGGCCTGAAGGCAGAAGAGGAGAAAAGAAGGGTGCAGACTCAACATAGGTGGAAACTGCAGCTTGGAAAAGTTCAATGCTTTGAAACAAGTGTTTTTAAAAGCCTCTGACAGTGCCGTTTGGACAGAAATCAACTGCAGGACGAGACGAGTTCAACCGTGGTGTTGATTTGTTAAGGTTGCGCCCGACGCCCAAGCCAAACCGCTTGAAAATTGCAAAGTGTATTTCCAGAATGTGAATAAGTGCGAGCGAAGCGAGCGAAACACCAGAGTAAATTCAACAAATTTAACTGATCAAGTGTTGATTTTGAGGGTTTTTTCACATTATTGGAGACTTCAGAAATTTTGAATTGCTCATCTTCCTAAACCCACTTCAGAAAGAGCAACACAGATTGCTGGTCTTTTCCGAAACCCACTTTACAGAGGCGATACAGATCGCTGATAACCTTGCAGCGGTGTCTGTGTGTGTTTACCTTGTTTTTTTCCATTGTGAATGGGGTGGTGTGTGTCGTGGTTTTGGCGTTTTGGCAGAGTCGTGTGTGTCATGGAGTGTGGTGTGTGTTATTATGTGGGTGCAAAGTGGCTTGAGTGGGTGGTATGCATTTGCGTGTATGTCGGCTGGGTTCTGCTGGGTTGTTCAAGTGTGGAAGTGTGCGGGTGGTGAAAGGTGTGTGGATTTGGAGACACAAAAAGAGGGCAAGAAATCAACTCCAAAAGGTAGGGAAGCCAAAGTGACCTCTACAGTACGTCAGCGGGCAACCTTTGGCAGGCAACGTCGGTGAGAACCTGAAGGAATGCTTACTGAGGAGGAGCTAGCTGAGGCCCAAGGAGTCACGTCTCTTTCGAGCAACGCGAGCCCTGAACGTGAAGACCCAAACAAATCCCGACGACAATACTTCAGTGGCTTTCAAACATCTTTGAAGATGATGAAAAAAGCAGCTTGAAACAATGGCCAAGGAATCCGGCAAATCTTCCAACACTCCATCGTTTAGAAGTGCTTTGAACAATGGTCAGGAAGCGCGTCTTCTCCGTGAAAAGCTCCTCTTGACCTCCCAAGTCCGCGATTTGAAATTGCTTGAAACAAGCGTTTTTGAAAGCCTAGAGGAGCAAGAGCTTCGCGCAAGGCTGTGGTTCGAGCTGGGGAAATTCACCATGGATGACTGTGCCACACTGTTAGACAAAATGAAGTTTGGCAAAGCCACGAAGGACGAGTTCAGGGGAGACCCGGGATTGTCGCTAGTGTTAGGAGCGTCTGTCCACGCAGAGACCATGGCCATCCAAGTTCCTCAACGCAGCGATCAAAGAAAATTTGATCCACTTCCCGCACCTCGAGCTCTTGGACATCAGTTGTAGTGCTAAAGGTCAGCAGAGTGCAACCACATCGAGATCATCGAAATGAGAGGTCGAGCTTGAACAATGTGGTTGAAGCTGGCGTGAAGAATCCTGGTGGCCCATGGGAAGCCGAGGATGAAGGTCCTTCGTGCGTCAGTGGAAGAAATGCTCCTGTACCACACGACTGAAACCTTTGACAAAGGAGGAGCTGGAACAGTTGAGAAGATCTGGCAAACTGGCTTTGTTGCCAGCCAAGAGCGTGTTCACCGCCAAACCTCCGGACACTGCAGCCTGTCTTGGGCCTTCTTCATCTTCACTTGGTGCTATGCCGGAATGGTTAAGAGAAAAGCTAGACTGGTGATCTGCGGGAATTTTCAAGAGAAACAGGGCCGCGAAGATGTCTACGCCACAGGGTGTCTATCAGAAGCTTTGCGTTCCGTGTTGGTGTGGGCTGCTGCTCAGAACTGGGACATCGGCAGTACTGACATACGCAACGCTTTTCTTTTGGCTCCGACGCCGCAAGATTCCATGGTCTATGTCATCAGGGCGCCTGTGGTGGTTAAGGATGCCATGGCGTTATTGGGATGCGAAGTGGCTGAGGCTTATGCGGTCGACCGTGCTCTTTGCGGGTTCCGTAAGTCTCCAAAGCTATGGAACGACTTCCGCAACACCGAGCTGAGGAAGGCCAAGATCATGATCGCTGGACGCACGGCAGTACTCAGGCCATTGGTGTCTGATGAGAATATCTGGGCAGTAGTTTGGGAAGACAAGCTGCAGGAGAGTCCGGACGTTCCAATTGGATCACTAGCTATCGCATTGATTGTGGTATATGTTGATGATTTGTTGTACTTGGGGCGGAAGTACGTGATCCGTGCAGTGCATCAGTGGGTCTCAAGCCGTTGGAAGTGTAACGACCTTGCTTTGGCTACATCGCAGGAACCTATTCGCTTTCTGGGTTTGGAAATCTACAAACAGGAGTCGGGCCTCAGAATTACCCAAGAAGGTTACGTTCGAGAGCTTGTCAAACAGCATGCCCTCCAAGATGCCAAGACCGTCATGACGCCCTGCCCTCGTGAATGGTTGTTGGGTCCTGACTTAGGCACGAAATGCTTCACCATTGGTCGCCTGCGCGAACTGGTCTCCCTATGGGGTTTGCGGCCAGAGGAGCATCAGTTGAGGAGTTTGAAGACGAGCTGGGATAAGGCTACGTGGGCCTTGTTTTGGTCGTTGTTGGCCAGACAGCCAGCGACACTGAGCGCTACTACCACGCGCTGTCTGTGTAGAGAAGAGCCGCTATGTCGCTTGTTGAGCGTGTAGGGTCATTGGCAGCTCGTGTGGAGAACAGTCTGAGTGTTTGGACAATGCTGCAGCCCTTGGAACACAGGAAAACAGAGCTGACCTCTACACTACACACTTCCTACTCAAACTGAGAGCCCACAAAACGTTGACTATCTACACCCCCTTTGGGCTCGAAGCTCGAAGCCTCAGCGCTTAGCGCGTTGGCCGTGGGATGTTTGCTCGCTGGGCCTCGAAAATGCCCCTGTCCAAGCAATACGTGCAAAATGTTCTTGACCATAGGCCTGTTCCTCAAAGTGCGGCAGTCATCCTTCAGGTGATAGCAATCACCGTATGGCGAGAAGAAGACGTGCCCCGGGAAAACTCCTGCCTTCTTTGCTCTATGCCTGGATGTCGACAAACACCACGCACAACCGACACAGCTCATCCCAAGCAAAAAACTACACACAGCTGTCACTGCCAAAAGCACAATCACTTGCACGGTTTTTAGAGTGTTTTGCATCTGTTTGGAACTTTGGAACTGTGCAAGCACCTTGAGTGGCATTTGACTTGTGTGAGCTGTCTGCGACTTTGCAGCTTCGGTAAAGGAGAGTGTTTAAAGCCCAGTGTTTGATCTAGGAAGTCCCACATGCAAACGCATGTTGTTTGGCTCAAGACCGGAGTCGTGTTTAAGTGCGAGAAAGCTAAAAGAAGTGTTTGGAGTGCCTGTGAGCTGTGTGACTGTGAAGGGTTACTTGCACTTGGTACTTTGGAACACGAGTGAGTTGTTTGTCTTGTGCGTGACTTTGGTCTTTTACGCCGTTATTGCTCTTAGGCAACGTCCAGGCCGCCTGGGGTGGCTATCAAATCAATTCCCACTTTGCGGCTTTGGCGTTGATAAACCTCAGGCAGAGTGTGCTCACGGTACGCATGTTGACCAGCGATTCTGGAACGCCGGTGCAGTGCTATGCCACAGGCTGGCTTTTGCCTCCAGGTAGGTACGCTTTGTAGTCTGTGCAAGCTGCCATTTGAAAGCAGGCCCCTAAGCCTTGGCGATAGGGAGGCGACATGATGACCACAGGCTCAAGGCCACGAGTGTATGCAGCCGTGGCCCTGGCGAAGCCAGCCTCGTTCTGGAACAGAAAGTCGGAGGCTTTGCACGTAACGAGAATGAGGACACCATAGGTAGGGCCGTGGCGCATGCCGTGGTAATGGCCTCAAAGAAGCGCCGCAGTGCCTCAAGCAACGTCATCTCGGGGGTGCCCAGTTCCTCGGCATGGTGCAGAAGGTTGAGGTGTTTGCGTGACGACCTTTTCTCGTGAGACACGAAGCCAATTCGAGCATTCTTTCGAATCTCGTGCCGCAAGGTCAAGGCTACGTCGGCAAGCAGGTAGGTAATTCGTAGTTTTGGCCAATGCGTGTGCGGTCTTCTAATCGTTCCGGCACGCTGCTACCTGCAAGTTTCTAACCATCTGCCGGCCTTGCTACGGAGCGGTCTGGCCAGGAGGTGCTGCCATTGTAGGCCCCTGAGGGAAGACTAGGCTTGGTCTTTCCTTGCATAACAAAGGTGCACGCTTCTGGATAGTCCGGCCGCCTGCAGAATTGTTGCTGCTTGTGCCGGCCGACTTTGCTAAGCTCCAGCATCGAGCAGAGGATGCCTGAACCTTCGCCAGGCGGAAACGACGCAACCGCCGCAGTGAGTGTGTTCCTGCCCTAGCTGACAGTGGCTGACATGTCTCTCCGCCACGGGCCCGGTCCTTTTTGAATTTGCCCGCGCAACACTTTCTCAAGGTTGGACGGCGCAAATGGGGAAGTAGGGATAGCATTGAGCCCGCACTTTTTCCGTTCAAGGAGTTCAGTCACAAAGTGATGTTGGGTCGGGAACCACCGGCCGGCTGCCTATGGTCCCCTATCATGACATCAAGCACAGCGCCGATGTGGCCGATGGGGTCCCTACTTGTTGCGCTTCGTCCCGCAAGGCTACATCGACACCTGGCAAGGCCAGATCTGAGTAGGCATACCCTAGATGCAAGTTCACCGCCCCGTGGGTGCAGGCGAAAAGCTTGGCTTTCCTTGTGTCGTTGTCATCAAAAGGGAGGGGGTGTTTAAAAGTTTATCCTTTTCCTTCCTTGCTGGGACTCGGACAACCAAGCCCCGGACTGAGTCGTGGCCTTGCGTCAGAAGCCCGTCCACGGTCTCTGCAAAGGTGCGCACAGACTCGTTCCCATGTGCCGTGTAGAGGACGCATCGTTGGGCCATGCCCGTGAGGAGCACCCCCAAGAAGGCACACGCACGTGTTTTGCCACTGCCAGGAGCACCTGTGACGTGAATTGCCGTCCTGTTTGCAGCCAAAGAAAAGGAGGAGACTCCAAGCAGGGCCGCCAAGTGTCCATCGGCCCCCCACATGGTGTCACTTAAGCGGATTAGGAAGCTCGGGCCAACAGCCAAGGCGAAGATGGCAACACGGGTTCTTGGGTCGCTTGCCTCGTCAACCAAATGCACTGGGATCCGCAAGGCTTTGGGATTCCATGCATTGTGGGGCGGGCTGGCAGCCCCGCCCGTGTGGCGCGCCGGCATAGTGCTTAAAATATCAGTTAGGAGTCCTGGGGACCATTCCGTGGAGTACTGCGGCCAAGTGCCGAGCCACTCAGCCGCTATGGCCTGACCTACATTCTCACAGTCCCCGTGTTCCGCCAGGCTTGGCGGGACCAACTGTCCTCTAAATAAGCGGGCAAGGGGTTCGAGCATGAGGTGACGCCAGCAATTGCTCCAATGACCCTGCAAGCTAAGTCCGATCACTAACAGGAGCACTAGGTCAAGCATGAAGCCGGGCACCCACGCAGCCTGGCGCACTTTTTCAATAAGTGCGTCATCCATCGGGACTCCAGCGCCGCCGGGGCACGCTCTTTCGGAAGGCGAAGAAGGGCATCCCAGAGGGGGGTCATGGCCCCCCCAAAGAGAACCGCAAAGGACTCCAGGGAGGGCAGCGGCTCGGCGTTAATGAGCGAGTGGGCCTGATGGTCACTGAGCATTAGGGCCACGTGAAGGTTTTGCGGCTTCATTGCCTTGATGCGTCCTAGTGGAAGCCGCAGCCTTCGCTGGGGTGTCAATTGGTAGAATACTCCCGGTAAGGTCATCGTGAAGCCTGGCACGGACAGCGGTGCCTTTACACAGGACTTTTCCATCTCCCGGACAGGGCCTGCGGAGCAACCCTGTGCATGAACCGGACTTGCCACCCGTTGCCTCTAGGCTTGAGTTGCACCAATGGGGGAGCACCCTTCTCGCCTTTGTGGCATGATGAAACTGCTCAGGTGGTTCCTCCTCTATTACCGCTTCCGCCGACATGGCTTCAAACTGATAGGCCAGCATGTCGACCAGGCGGTGGAGGGACAACGCAGGCAGGAACATGTCAAGGATCTCCTTGATGAGTGGAGCCAGGCCTTGGAAGGCTGTCGGCAAGTTAGAGAGGTGGGGCTCGGCAGCACTGCTGCCTAAGGGCCTTGATGCCTTTTGCGCGAGCAGTGTTGGTCATGCTCTCCACCTCGGCATGGGGGATGACTTTGCCAAGGTGCTTCTGAACAAATGTCTGGACGTTGGGCGACAGTCGGACGAACTCACAGGCCACGCCCATAAGGGCGGAACGGACCACCTGTTCCACAAATTTATCCGCAAGCCCGCAGATTTGCCGGGTGAGCGCTTCATAAGAGAAGTCCCCCGGTTCATGGTCAAACAAGGCTTCGCAATCCAGGAAGTGGGAGTAGGAATGGCCGTGTTTGCCAAGGGAGCCAGTCGCATTGAAGAAGTATAGCCGGCACCCTCGCTGCAGCTCGTGACTCTTCATTGGGGCGCCAGATACACAGCAAATCAGCTTGGTGATGTACAAACTTGAGATGGTGGCAGAGCTCGGAAGCCATGATATGTCGAAACAACAAAGCTGGCATCGCGACTCCCCCTAACCTTCCAGTCGCAGGGGGTTGCTCGGGAGAGAGTGCTTTACCAGAGTGATGTTCTTGCCACGCTACTGCTAGGACCGCGCCTGTATACGAGCCAGCAGAGAAGCCTCTGAGGCGGAGCTGCTTGTAGCTGGCTCCTGCTGCGCTTAACGCAATGTGCAAATCAGTGATGGCGGCGGGGTGAGGCATATGGAGGTGGGCTCTGGCTGAAGTGCATGTTCCACCCCAGTCATGCGTGCGCGTACAGAGCCTGGCAGAGCTTTTCCACCAGGTGGTGGGGTGGGGTAAAGGGCGTTACTCCAGTGGCGAAAAGCGCTAGGTAGCAGCAACAGTGCATGTGATGCATTTGCACTGTGGGATAAAAGCAGCGGCACTTCGGTATGCATGCCAAGGGACGGTTGCGAGCGGATTGCCCCAGTCGACTCCATGTCAAGACCGACAGGCCATACGAGTTGCCCGTATGGAGGATACAACCCTGGAGACCCCCAAGCGGAGGGTTTCCTTTAAACCCCATACCGCTGACAAAAATGCACACTATGCTGTGCAGAATGTCTTGACGTGGCAGCGGATCCTTATCGGAGAAGGGAGGGAGCTTCCAGTCTCGCATAGCCTGCTTGGCAGTGAGACGGTAGTTCCCATCTGTGCATCCAACCACCTGTGCGAGGGTCGCGGTGCAGTCATTCGTAAAGAATGCAAGGCCGGGTACGTTGCCCTCCAAAGCATATTTGACCGCGCATGCCAGGGAGGACATTTGCTCATTGAGCAAACTGTCACGCTCTTTCCAGACCGGACGCTCCATTACCGGGTGCAACCATCCATGGCGTAGGTAGAAGGCAACCCCTGGGAGGAGCGGGAGCTTAGCTCCCTCCGTAGTGCCCAAAGGGGGGGCGTGCCACGTGTCCCCCAAATTGCTTGGGATGCGGATCAAAAAAAAATTTATTTAGGATCAAGAAAAATTTATTTAGGATCAAGAAAACATTTATTTAGGATCAAAAAATAATTTTTCTTTTCTTCCGACGGAGAAAGAGAAAATGGGATGGAGGGAGGGAGAAAAGGAGGGAGGGAGGGAAGGAAGGGCGGAAGGACGGAAGGACAGGAAGGAAGGCAAGGAAGGAAGGAAGGAAGGAAGGAAGGAAGCAAGGAAGCAAGGAAGCAAGGAAGCAAGGAAGCAAGGAAGCAAGGAAGCAAGGAAGCAAGGAAGCAAGGAAGCAAGGAAGCAGGGAAGGAAGGGAAGGAAAGGAAAGGAAAGGAAAAGGAAAAGGAAAAGGAAGGCCGGAATCAAGAAAGACAGAAAAAGGCAATTTCACAAAAGAAAGAAAGCAAGGAAGACGTCGTGCCAGCTTGCTTCAAAGCATACGTATTCTGGCCTTTGGTTGCTTGGTGCTGTGCTCCTAAGGTCCTCTGGTCACGTGGTCCTCTGGTCCTCCGGTCCTCCGGTCCTCTGGTCCCGTGGTTGCCCGGTCCCGTGGTCAGAGTTTGTTTTTATTTATTGCTTTTTGGTCATAATGGTATATTTAGTTCTGTAGGAAAACATAACATAACATATGATATATGTATGTGTATATATTAAAACAAAGTACAATGATATTATATAGTGGAATAGAGTATCATAGAACACAATATCGTATAGTATACCTTTGTATGATAAAAAAAAACATCAAAAATCGTAGTAAGAAAGCGTATATGTATATATATATATAATGCTATTTGTATATATAAAATTCATAATACACAATACATATTTATTGTTTGTTTGGCGCCGGGCAAGCTTGTTCAACGCGTATGAATCCCTTCCAAACCCATGATGCGAGCATTGTGTTTGCAAATGGGGGGGGTCTGCGCCCCCCCCCCCCCCCTCAAACCCCCCGCTGCTTTTTTAAGCCAGCGTATGAATATCCTTTCCAAACCAATGATGCGAGCGTTGTGTTTGCAAATGGGGGGGGCTGCGCCCCCCCCAACCCCCCCGCTGTTTTCTTAGTCCGGGCAAGCTTGCTTCAAAGCACATGAATCCTTCCAATCCCATGATGCGAGCACTTTTTTGCATAATAAAATATTGCACACAAAAATACAACACTTTTCAAGTATATACAAGAATATGCAGCAATATACACGTAAAACAAGAATAACTTACAACAATTTTCAGTAATTGACAATAGTATTCAATAATCGACAACAATATACAATAATATACAAAAATGTACAATAATACACAACAATATATACAATAATTGTCGAAAATATACAAAAATATACAGTAATATAGAAAACACAAAAACTCAATGACATGCAATAATGTAACATAGTATACAATAATATACAATAATAGACAATAATATACAATGACATACAGTAATATACTATAATATAGAATAATCTGCAGTAACATACAAAGAAAACTCAATAATATACAATAATGTACAGTAATCTACAAAAAAGAGAATAATACACAATAATTTTGAAAATATACAATAACATTCAATAATATGCAACAATATAAAGTATTATACAAAAATACAAGAAAATACACGACAATACAATAATACTCAACAAGATGTACAACAATGTACAATAATATGCAAGAATATACAATGTCATACAATACTATACAAGAATATACAATACTATGCCATAATATACATGCTTCAGAGTATACGCATTTTTTGGAAACTTCTAATGCCAAGATGCCAGCATTGATTTGCAGCCTCTGCAAACTCAGAAATGCTGCTATTTACAGTATTTCCAGCCTTTGAAATCGCAGAAATGCTGCTATTTTCAGTATTTGCAGCCTCTGGAAACTCAGCAATGCTGCAGTGTACAGTATTTCCAGCTTCTGAAAGCGCAGAACTGCTATATACAATATCTCAGAAATGCTGCTATTTTCAGTAGTTCCTGCATAAATGCTGTGTTTTTCCGGTATTTAGAGCTTGCGAACGGCCAGAACTGCTGCATTTCTGAGCGTTGACGGCCTCCGCTTCGCTTGCAAGAAGCCTTCGAAGCCTTCAGTAAATTATTTTTTGATCCCAAATAAGTTTTTTTTGATCCGCCTAGAAATAAATTATTTTTTGATCCCAAATAAATTTTTTTTGATCCCCTACCCAAATTGCTTCGGGTAGCGTGGGCAAGGACTTCACGTTTCCCCATTGCTGCAGAACTCTCTTCCCCGGCACGGAGTAGCCATGCGCAAAGGGAGGCGGGACAGACGGTCCAAACCGATTGGCCATGAACATTTCGGGGCCGTAACGCCGCTAGCCGTGAGTCGTGGCTGCTCATGCCGTGTAGGAGCGGCAAAAAGCCTTGCTCAAAGGGGCCCTGGCCCCATGACCGGCAAGCGGGGTGTTTCTGAGGCATTGGAGGAAATGAATTCGATCTGATGCGAGCGATTCCGTCGGCTCGACTCCATTAGCAATCATGGAGTTTGTCGGGAAGATCAGGGACTTTATGGCGTCAGAGAGGCTTCTCTGGAGCCGATCAAGTACTTGCTCCAGGCTGCCTTCCAACCAATATTCTGCCGGCCCCTTCCGAAAGGGCCGATACTCATCAGGGAAGAAGACAACTAGCCCTCCATTGGCCTGTAACTGATCTTCCGAGATACAGATTGCCCCTACTCGCCACGGGGTACGGGCCCCCTCCGGGATGTGCGCGTCCGGCGAGCAGGCCCAGTGCGAGGCCGGCCGTTCCACTGGGTCCTGTGCCACCTCTGTTGGGCCAGGGCAGAGCTTTTCCGCAGCCATGGTGCCCAGCTGAGAAAGGGGTGCGGAAGTGGGGAGGGCGTCTAGCGCAGCTACTCGACGCAACTCTTCCATTTCCCATTTGGCCGTGAACAACGTATCATGATCAAGCAAGGCGAGGGTGGCATTCGGTACGAGAGCGCGCAACACTGCCAGAACCTCTGGCCCGGCCCAGGTGTAATTGAGGGCCTGGAGGCCTGCTTCGACGTCTCTTGGGGCTTGCGTTGGCCAGCTGAGACATTCGAAGTGAAGTGGACCTCTGCAAGCCTTGCAGCTGCCGAAACCTCCGGGTTGGCGATTTTGAGGTCGAGGTCAAGATGCAGCGAGAGCAACATCATCAGGGCCCGTCACGCCATTTGCAAAGCTGGTGTTTGCATTCAGTCCTCAACCAATGATTGCAGTTCTTCGGATGCTCAAATACGGGTAGAAGGAGCGAGCTCCGTAGCAGCGAAAGCCAGGGTTCTTTCCATGTTTCGATGATCTCGACACGATAAGCTTCTTCTTCAATTTGTCCTTGGAGAAGTGTGCTGCTACATGCTTGCTAAGTTCATTCCTGCAGACACAACGTTTGCAGCCTTGTCAGGCCCTCATGCTTTGTCAGGGAGGGCGCAGAGTTGGCCAAATCCATCGTTTGCAGGCTCGTGAGCCCTCGAAGGCCTTGTCGGGGAGGGCGGAGAGTGTGTTTTGGAGCAGGATGAACGTTTGCAAGCTCGCGAGGCCGTCAAAAGGCTTGTCGGGGAGTGGAGACCAGTTGCCCCTCAGGTCCAGCAGTTTCAAACTCGTGAGGCCTTCGAAGGCCTTGTTCGAGAAGGCGGAAAGCTTATTGTATTGCGAAAAGTTTACATGGGGCAACAAGCTCTCCACCCCCCCGGAAAAGGTCTTCGAGGGTCTCACGAGCCTGCAAACACTAGATTTGAGCACAACCAGCTCCCCGCCCTCCCCGACAAGGTATTTGACCTCCACTGACATTTGTCGGAATGTTTCTTGCAACTAGACCAGCGGCGCTGTGGAAAAAACGGTTGCGGACGGCAAGCTTCGAAATTTTCACCGTTTGATGTCTGCCCGCGAGGCTCCCCATGTCCATGAGCAGTTCGGCGCAGCAGCGATCGAAACGCAAAGGGATGCCTTCTGCAGCGTAAAGTTCTAGAGTTCTAGTTTAACAAACTAACGCGTCAGCTGCAGATGCACTTGCTGCTTGTCTCCGAAGCACTTCTTGATGGCTGCACACCCTGGAGCCCCCTAAGCCATGGGCTCTGAGAGTGCCCCTTAGCAAAACTTTGTTTCGGTCATCTTCGGACGCTTCATATTGAGGGCACACAGCGCAAAGCCTTTCATGACGATTGTCGGGGTTCTTATGTGACCGGCATGCAGGAAGTGCATCCTAAGTTAGGGCATGCATGGAATACTGCTGAACCCGATCTGGCTCACAGGAAAGCTGTTCTGTGTACAGGGGCAGGGGTTCCTTGTGATTCCTTGTTCGCTCGGCACCCAGGGGTTTTCAAAAGGCTTCGAGGCTGTGAGTGTTTTGGGTTCAGGGCTTGGCTGATGTACCTTTACGACCTCAAGCCTTCAACCTTCAGCCACAAGATGCGTTCCTTTGTTTTTTATCCACCCAAGCAGTTGTTCAGTGCTAGCGAATTTCCAAGGTTGAGGTTGTACTGTGGGAGTTTTTACGTCGGGAGGAAAGAGAAACATAATAGATAAGAAATGGTTGTTTCTGTCATCAGATACCTATATCTATACATACTATATATATATATCTATTATATAGATAGATAGATGGATGGATAGATAGATAGATAGATGGATAGATAGATAGATATATATGTATATAGATAGATAGATGCATATACTAGGCTTCGGGTTCGATGACCCTCTTGGTGTTTGGCCTGACGCTCGCCTAGGCGCTGTGCGCACCCCAAAAGGGCTTGCAAATGTCAACAGGGTTTAGGGTTTAGGGTTTAGGGTTCAGGGTTCAGGGTTTAGGGTTTAGGGTTTAGGGTTTAGGATTTAGGGTTTAGGGTTTAGGGTTTGGGGTTTAGGGTTTAGGGTTTAGGGTTTAGCATGCTTGTGGCCTCGGGGCGCAGGCCAAATCGCGTTCTCACCTGGGGGCATGTGCGTGTCGTTGGCCTCTGCACTCTGAAGGCTGCATGCAGCGGGGTTTAGGGTTTAGGGTTTAGGGTTTAGGGTTTAGGGTTTAGGGTTTAGGGTTTAGGGTTTAGGGTTTAGGGTTTAGTTCGCGTAGTCAGCTCGCCCATAAGCTTGAACCTGATACCCCAGAAACCTATTCAGCTACAAGTCGCAAGCCCTGTAGCTTCCCAGGCTGCTTCTTCGAACACACTGAGGCCCCCAGCTTGTGCAGAGCCTGTCTGAAGCGAAGGAGTTAGGGGTTTTGGGGCGCTTTAGGGTTGCGGGTGTAGCCTTTGGGGTTGAGTGCTTAGGGGCATAGGTGTTGACGCTCCAGGTATCCCAGCGTTCTTCTCTCGATGATAGAACATGGCAAGCAGGGACACACGCAGTTCTGCAACTGGACAGTGTCTTCAGGGCCCTAAACAAACTCAATCCAGGCCTTAAACCTAAACTTCGCGAAGGTCCGAAGAGTTTAATCTTGACATTGTACAGTTTCAGCTCTGCCTACGTGTGGCTTTCGTCCCCCCACTTAGTAGCTTCCAAGATGAGGGTCTTGTTGTCTTACCCTTAAAGTAGGAGAATCCCGGCTCACCCCCCCCCCCTCCCACACAAAGGGACCAGAACCTAGAGAAACCCCTCCGTGTGCCTAACCTCAACGTATTTTCATACTCGGAACCTTAAGCATGTACCCCCAAGAGGTTCCCCCTTAGTCTACTCCGAGTATGGCCCGTACATATTTCTTAGGGATCCTTTTCGGATCCCCAACAAAACCCTAAACCCTAAACCCTAAACCCTAAACCCTAAACCCTAAACCCTAAATACTACCATGAAGGGTCCACGGTAAAATCCCTCGATGAACATCATCTCCGGACTCTTGACCCCCCAAGCCCCAAACCGACTCTCGATAGCATCGGAAGATTCATCGGGAAGCCCTACGCCCAAAAATCCCCAAAAACCCCCCAAAACCGGGGTACCATAAGCCCAATTAAGGACTGCTAGCATAATTTGGAACATCCCAACCCAAACCTCCAAAATCAACAAACCCTAAAGCACTGGACCCAAGCTGTCACAGGCAGCTGCCTGACCAGTTTCTCCGCCGACAATGCCATGTTGCCCAGTTTGGGCGTACAGCTAGGTGGTTTATGTCGGCCAGGGAAAATATCCTTACCGGCCGAATTCGGGTTTACGGTTTCGGGTTTAGGGTTTCGGGTTTAGGGATCAGGTTTAGGGCAGAGGAAGGCAGGTTATTTAGGCTTTTTGGGGCTTTGTGTGTCACAAATCTAGGTGGCTTCAGGGTTTCCGGATTCAGCTCCTTGGGCTTTTTTGAGGCTCTTGATGTGCGGTGCAGCTTGACTTATACATTTGCATGTATGCCTCTTGAGGCAGGATTCGGTACTGACATCGGAGGGGGATTCTGAGACCTGAAGCCCCAAAGCCTAAACCTGGCAGCTCGAGAGAGCGTTTTGCCGGCAGGCTTCGGGGTTTAGGGTTTAGGGTTTAGGGTTTCGGGTTTCGGGTTTAGGGTTTAGGGTTTAGGGTTTAGGGTTTAGTGTCGGAGTGGAGGGGCTCAAGTTCTGACGAAACGCGGTTTGGGCCCCCATTTTTGTACAAACGGGTCGAGCTGGTGCAGCGCAAGATGGCCAAGGCAAGCCCTACACCCTGAACCCGAAGCCCTAAACCCTAAACCCTAAACCCTAAACCCTAAACCCTAAACCCAAAACCCTCAAGCCCCCTGTAACTTAAAGTATTCAGAAATAACCCCAAACTCGAAACTTTCCTCGAAACTCGTCGAAACTCCTCGAAACTTTCCCCGGACCTGAACCCTTAATCATTTCAATAAACCCCAAACCCTAAACCCGAAACCCTAAACCCTAAACCCTAAACCCTAAACCCTAAACCCTAAACCCTAAACCCTAAACCCTAAACCCTAAACCCTAAACCCTAAACCCTAAACCCTAAACCCTAAACCCTAAACCCTGAACCCTAGCCTAAACCTTAAGCTTTAAACAGCACAGCCTCAACGCGCATGGCGGCCCAAGGAAGTCTTGTGTCTTTGTGGCTACTTTGGCTGCCCTGGCATCCACCTCCCAGGCAAGGGCGCCTGAGTACAGGGATCCCCCAACCCTAAGCCTCAATTGAGGTTTCGGGTTTAGGGTTCAGGGGTTTAGGGTTTAGGGTTTAGGGTTTAGGGTTTAGGACCCCAAATCCCAAACCTCAAATGACACCCGATTCCCAACATCCCAACCCAGTCCCCAAGCCCGAAACCCTAAAAGCCCCAAGTCGCCTTCACAGCCCTAAAGAACCCAAGCCCCTCAACGTCAAAACCGCAAAATTGCACATTAAGCTCCAAGAAATCTGAACCCCCAGAAGCACTCGTTATTCACCTCAAACCCTTCGAAACCCGAAACATCAAGTTCTGGGAGCTTAGGATGGCGCGGAAACCGAAAACCTTAAGCCGAAGAAGCTAAACTTGTGGCCCGTCGCAGGTCCGAAGCTCCGAAAAGAGCCCCTGAACCTGTCAAAACTCCAAGTCTTAAATGCTAAACTCCAAGCTCTAAGAGGCATCCACATATCCTAAACCCTAAACCCTAAACCCTAAACCCTAAACCCTAAACCCTAAACCCTAAACCCTAAACCCTAAACCCTAAACCCTAAACCCTAAACCCTAAACCCTAAGCCCTAAACCCTAAACCCTAAACCCTAAACCCTAAACCCTAAACCCGAAATCGACTGAACCCCCAAAGGCCGCATACCTTGAGACCCTAAGCGCCATACAAGAAAACCTTATGGGGAAGAGGCTTACTTCTCCAACAACCCCGAAACCTCGAAAGCCTAAGGCCAGAAGCCGCAAACACCCAAAAGCATCCACCCACCCACCCCCCCCCCCCCCCCCCCCCCCCAAAAAAAAGAAAAGAAAAGAAAACGGAACCCTCAGTGCCCCACAACCGAAATCCTAAGAGCCCTGAACCCGCATAAGCAGCTCGAACCCATTAGCATGCAAGAGAGCTTTGCGCCATTCTCTCGAGGATGAGGCCCCCAAACAGCCGCAAGTAAGAAGAACTGGGGGTTTACGATATTCGGGGTATCTTCTTGGGGTCCTGCTCATAAGGGAATCCTGCTATCTGGGGTTCTATATTCGGGGTCCCTTAAACTCGTAACCCCAAGTAGGAGAACCCCAGGGCCAAATAACAGAAAGAGTTGCAAGGCAAGAAGTCGCGAACGGCACCACAACTAAGCGTGTCTCCCTGAACCCTAAACCTTAAACCTTAAACCCCAAGCCCCAGACCCCAAACCCAAACCCTATAAACTATAACCCCAAAAACTCGACCCCAAACCCTGAACCCTAAACC